ATTCTTTTCCCAGGAAATCATAGCCATTGGTTTGAGTTCACTGCATAGCTTCCAAAGGCAAAGGGAAGCTAAATGGTGACATTGAGGTATAATATTTCAGAAAATAAGTTCATAGAATTGTGATAAATCAATAATCATGTTTAAAGTTCCTGAGAGAGTATTAAGATGTCTTAACTTGGTATCAACAAACTAAAATGTAACTATATATATTTTCATCATTATTATATTGTTCAAGTACAATGTTAGTACTTCAAGTAGCCAGTCCATGGGGACTACAGATGATCATGGATTAACTAAGAGACTTATTTTAAGTATTGCACTCTATGCGTATAAACACAGAACATATGTTTAATCCTCTATCAATCACCAGACTGATTTCCCTGCAATAGATTTTTCTGAGTCTTTATACTGTGTGGCAGTCCAATATGTCAGACTTTGTCTTTCCTTCTGTCACTGCTTGATAAATAATTCTGGAGTCACTAGGAAGTTGCTGTGAATTTAAAAGTAAAGGGTTACAGCTGCTCTGTCTCTAACAAAGACATCAACATGCTCTCAATAAAGCTTCATTAGGCACCATGGTCCAACAGTTACTAATAAAATGCAAAGTGTTTTTGAAAGCATAATTATTTTTTTCCCTTAAATATAATTTTGTAATTAATTGAAGTTTTCTAATGCAAAATAGATTAAAGTTCCTGACTGGGAAGAGAGTGAAACCTACCCTGTGGAGAAAAATGCACATTTCCATTCCATATCATAGTTAGGACATTAATGACATTTTTTGCAAAGCAATTCAAAAGCGTGCTAGAAGAAAAGAAAGCTGGTAAGAAAGCTGGTCCTAGCAGAAAGGCTGTAAAGGGAGTGTCTCACTTGAATAATCTTCCCTTACCGTGTCAGACCCTGCTGTTTGTCCACACAAAAAACTGAAGAGTCCTCCAGACAGATTTGAGTTCTTCCTTCACCTCCTGCTTCAGATCAAAATGATTTCTGACCTCATAAAGCCAAGGAGAATAGCGAGAGGGTGAAAGAAACAGACAGACTTGCAAACTGCCTAAGAGCAGAATCCCCAGCAGGATCCCCTTACTGCCACCCACCCTTCAAAACAAACCTTCCCACAGATTTCAGCAGTGTGGACCATTCTCCTCTCTTTCCTTTTTTCCTTAGCTAACAACAAAAACAACTCCTCCCCATCAATCAATTAACAATGTTAATGGTATTCAACCCTAGTGAAAGAAAAAAAAAAAAAGAGCTACAATACGTATCAAAAATCTGAGATCATTGCACAGTTCCCATGTTAAGAGCAATTTTAAATCATCTGACAAGTAAAGAATCTCAAAGACAACTTGTAAAAATAAAGCATAGAATCATAGAATCAACTAGGTTGGAAAAAACCTTTAAGATCATCAAGTCCAACCATTACAGCTAAACACAAACATTGCAGTTAAAGCCTGCACACATAACTCTCACAGACCTACTCATTGTAATACGACATACCCTTACATGTATATATGTAAAGGTTATTATATCTAGCAGACACTGGAATTGTGCCCCCTTAAATACTACTCTTTTTACATTTTGAAGAAATTTAATACAAGCAGTGCCAGAGATACAATGTATATAATACCTGTCATTTTATTCTTTACTGGTTCTTAATAACATCCTCTTCACTACCCTAATCCTTTCCTGGTACTATCTGAAGTCCTTTGGTTAATGTTTGACAAGCTTGCAGAGCTACTACTCGTTGCTGAAAACAAAATTAATGTATCCCAACATAACACTAAGTAGCATCTGTGTGTCTTAAATTAGGCAATGAGAAATAAAACCACATTAATAGAAACATAAGCCACTCTTTTTACACCACTAGAACTCATTTTTAAGGAAATTGGTGAAGTTTATTTGAAACTTCTATGAAATTAACAGCTTATGTGCTGTTAAACAGATGCTGTACTTGAACCTCCCAGTTTAAGAAGACATGCCTCCTACCTTATCAGGTATCTGTGGACTGCCTTCCTCAGACTTGCAAACTCCCACTTCTCTATTGTCTACCTGTGACTGAAGAGCAAATCAGCACAAGGAAAGAAAATTCTTATTTCTCGTAAGAAATTCTCTCTCTTTTACAACGGTTTTCAGATTGTTTTCTTCTTGTCAGAAGGCTGTGACAATATAAGTCAGGAACAGAACTCCTGCAGCCCTGAAACATCTCTCTGCTACATGACTGGACAGCAGAACATAATTTAAACTTCTGTTCTTTTCAGTGGGTCAATTTGTATTGCAATTATTTGATCAATTTGTTTTCCTAGGTAATGAAGTGAATATGCAGTAGATAGAGGCAATATATACCTAAAGTTCCAATATCAGAATCTGATTTTCACAGAAGGCGAATCTGAAATTTAAAAATGCAGAATACCATTATCTAGTGAACAGAAATAAAAAATATCTCTGAAACAGTGGATTTTAGAATTGTTTATTCACCAAGATAGCATACTGGCAAAGCTGCATCAGGATGAGCAGCCAGAGTATAACATCGGAGGCTGTAAAACAAAGCAGATTGCTCTGTGTGTTTATTGCTTCCTTTCTGACATCAATGCCACCGTTGCATTGGCTGGATATGCTGCATACTCACCCACACCCCACCAAGAACCATTAAAAAAAAAACACAGGGGTTTTTTTCAATTTTTTTTTTTTTAATAATACATGCTGGTGTTCAAGGAGGAAATAAATTGTTGCCTTCCATCTGCTGGGCCTTCAGTTCATGCATCTGGGCCCTCCTTTTCAGGCTGAGGATGAGAACTGTTTCTTGGCTTCAGCTTTCTTTAGCTGAAGTCACCATTTCCCAACAGCCAGCTGATGCCATTCATGGAGGCTGTAGGAACATTGACTGCCCCAGAAGAAGGCAGCAGAGGCTGGGAACTTGGGTCACTACAGGCCTTGCACAGCCTTTCAGGGTGAGCCTAGTGAATGACTGCTTATCCTACTGTTAGAAAGAGAGTGAAATTTTACATTAAAATAATTATATAGAGCAACAGAAATGACTATATTTGAAAAGTTTTCGAATCAATAGTAGACTTCTGTATATTAAAAGAATGTTGTAACTTTGCTGTGGTAGCCTCAGCAGTAGAAACTAACATAACAATGAGAAGGACACAGGGTGTCTGGCCTAAGACGTTGTGGTTTAGAACAAGGAAGCTTTGTCTAACTGTGTGTCTTGATAATACAGACGTTCATAATTTTTGTATTGTTTACAAGGAAGCTTTGTCTAGAAACAGAAACCATGTATCTTAAGCAGCAGAAAATTTCATCTCTGCAATATTGATAGCTTTGTGAAATCATTGCAACATAAAAGGACAAGCCAAGTGAGGAAGTGAGAATGCTGGCGTCCACATAATGGTTGGGGCCTGTCCAAAGAACAGAAAGGTGAAAAGAACAAGGGGAGGAAGACTCCTTATTTCATCTGAGGAAGACTCCTTGCTTCATCGGGACCACCATCAGAGGGGGCTGGGCAAGCACAGGAGAGGCTGATGTTGTAATTAGTCAATGATGTAATCTGTGCTGAATATGTATTAGTTACGAAATTTTTAGTGTATAAATTGTGAACGCGATGTGATGGGGTCGAAGCCAGATTTGGGCGCGTGCCCCTGGTTTCCCAGCGCTGCAATAAAGCACCTCATATAACCATTCCAGTGGTTATGTGTCAGTTCTTATGCTAACACTATACTGCTAGCATGGCTGTTTAGGGGCACTCACAGCTTTTTGAAAACCATGTTATGGGCACGGGTGAGGATGCTGTGAAAGACCAAGCCTTTGTCTGGGTAAGTGCTGCAGGGAAAGCCATTTCACAAACCCATGAAGAGGCAGGGAAATTTATCACCTACTAAGGTGGAATTTACTCAGGAGAACGAAGGTTATAAAGCAGTTAAGGTTTACAGGTGTAAACGTACCTATTAAAAAAAAAACAACATGAAAAGCTGCTTGTCCTATACACTCATCCACTCATCGTGTGGCCAGCAGAACTAGGGACATGATTGTCCTTTTGTATTCAGCACTGGTGAGGCTGCATCTCGAATCCTGTGTTCAGTTCTGGGCCCCTCACTACAAGAGACATTGAATTGCAAGAGCAGGTCCCAAAAAGGATAACACAGCTGGTGAAGGGTCTGGAGCACAAGTCCTATGATGAACAGCTGAGGGAACTGGGGGTGTTTAGTCTGGAGGAGGCTCAAGGGGGACCACATCACTCTCTGCAACTACCTGAAAGGAGGATGGAGTGAAGTGGCTGGTCTCTTCTCCGAAGTAACAAGTAGTAAGACAAAAGGTAATGGCCTCAAGCTGCACCAGGGTAAGCTCAGATTGGACGTTAGGGAAAAATTCTTCACAGAGAGGGTGCTCAGGCATAGGCATAGGCACAGGCTGTCCAGGGAAGTGCTGGAATCACCGTCCCTGGAAGTGTTCGCAAACCGTGTAGATGAGACCCTCACCGGCATGGCTTAGTGATGGACTTGGCAGTGCTGGGGTAACGGCTGGACCCCATACACTCTAAGCTCTCTTCCACCCAAGCTGATTCTATGATCCTACAATACCATGCCCGCAACCCACCTGCGCGCCCGGCCTACCGCCACGCCCGGCACCGCAAAGCCACCTCCCTCGCCACACTGCGCATGCGCCAGCCGGCCAGCCCGCCACGGCCGCCTGAGCCTTGCTGGCTCTCGCTGCCTCCACGCGCAGCCTAGTCACGTGGCGCTGCGCCGGCTGCTGCAGGCGCTCAGGCCGAAGGCGGCGGCAGCCTGCGGCTTGGGCAGGTCTCGGGTTCCCTCCGCCGGTGAGCGGTGCAGCAGGGCGGGCCGGCGTTCCCGGTCACACATGCGCTCACCCCGCCACTAGGACAGGCCGCCCGTCCTTGAGCGAAGGGTAAAAGCAGTCGCTCCTCCTCTTCCTTCTTCTCCTCCGTTGCTGGCTCTGTGCCAGCGCTCGCCGTGCCCCCGCGGCGTGCGTACGTCGCTGTGAGGGAGGGGCAAGGGCGGGCGGCGGCGGCGGCGGAGAGCAGGTGAGGTAGCGGGCAGGGGGGCTGTGGGCGCGCTACGGGGAGCTTCCCCCGACCGGCACTGGGAAAGTGAGGCGTGCTGAGCGCCCAGCTTCTCGCTTGCCAGTGCCCGCCTCCTTCAGCCTTCCTGCGGCACGGCGCCTAAGGGCGCTCGCCAGTCCCAGGCCGTGGTGGCGGTTGGGGGCAGCCATGGGGGCCCTAACGGCAGCGGGGTGCGAGGGGAGGCCGGGCTCGTAAGCAGGGCCCCGTTCGGTGCCCCTGCCATCCGCGGCCTGTCTTGTGGGGAAAGGAGATGTCGGTCCTGTCGCCCCATACCTGACTGCATCGGGGAGAGCTGAATTTAACGGGAATAAATACCTGCAGCCGGCACCCTTCGGTGCTGAAGAGAGAGTGCCGTGCGTGCGGTTTGATACAGGGCTTTAAGTACGAATATGTTAAAATCGAGTCGATGGAATTACGAGAAAGCTTCACTTCTGATCAGGATGTTGAATATCAAAAGTGTATTCATTGATCTTTACATTTAAGTAGTAGTTATGTCGATTTTTATGGCTGTATGAAACTAAATTATGTTTGCCAGCCACCTCCCTCGAGGGAAAGAAATCTCTATATCATCAGTGAACACCATCCCCCCCCCCATGTTAATAACATACCTTATAATAAACACAAGTTGACGACTTAATACGTTACCTGGATCAAAATCAACTGAAAATGTTCAGGATTGCTCCAGTCTTTCATCCAGTCCCAAGTACATCTCTTTTCCCTTTTCAGATAGGCTAGCGCAGAAGGCACTGTGTTAGGCAGTTTGTTACATGCAGGACATATAAATACTGTTTATTCCTTAAACTTAACCTTGATTTAACCTAGCCTTTTGTTTGCAAAGGCAGTTAGCAATGGATATGTTGCAGGTATTGTGAAAGGAGATTCTTTAGCACTGTGTATGAGGCATTTGTCTTAGGATTTTCATTCATAAAGAGAAATTAGAAGTTGTATATGCAATTAGTGTGATATTTTCTTACTTTTGACATTATGTGAAGACTTACTTAGGTTGTCATTTGCTGAAGGTGCTCCTTTTGCTGTTTCCCAAAATGATTCAGAAGCACTGGTCTTCCTGACAGGATGAGATACTGTATGCTATTGAACTGTGCAGAGTTCCAGGTTTATAACCTCACCTGTCACAAGTGAAGGAGGTTGGCCACTAGGATGCAAGATCCCTGCTGGGGCACAAGAGTTTAATCTAAAGGAATCCATAATCTGAATGCTGCTTGAGTTGTTGCTGTGAAGTACCAAAAAGGAACCATAAAGAAATCCTTTGAGAATGTACCAGGTGGTAGATCTTGAGGCAGTAATGCATGTGAATAGAAAATTCGGGTGACGGCCAAATGTAGCTGTAGAGAGGAAAAGGCGAGGTTTGTTTCAGCAGTTCCTGCTCACCATAAAGCATATTTCCAATTGACAGTGCACTGCCTTTGAAGAAAAGCAATAAAGCTTTAGGCTTTGTGGAATTCTGCAGTGCAAAACAAACATATGCTATAGTTGCTATATGAGAAAGCTATATTGTGAATTAGTTTTCATTTACATTGTAATAATACTGTGTCAGTAGTAATTAACAAAAATTGCAGATTTCAGTATTAATCTGTAAAGGAAAAGAATATTGCGTGCTTTTCTGAAATGTTGTAGGTATTTCTTAGCATAATATAACCACTTTAAGACTTTAATAGTATAAATGCTTTAAAAAATCATATTTAACACCATTTTTATAAAAATGTGTTTATAGGTCATTGTGTATAATGTAGCTACATCTGAAGGAGTACAAAGTGGCTTTGTCATGCTGACTAACAGCATAGGGCATCATTTAGTGGTGCGTGAAGCAATGCTTCCAAGAAACCTGAAGGTATTTCCCTACGTTTGTGGCAACAGAATGTTGTCGGGTTTTAGACCTAAAAGCAACATCAAGGACTCTTACAAAATCCTTGAGCTTGAGGAAGGATGTTCCCTTGATGATATCAGAAACTCATATCGAAGTCTTGCCAAGAAGTACCATCCAGACAGTGGTTCTGCCACAGCTGATGCTGAAGCATTTATGAAAGTAGAAGAAGCGTACCGAGTAGTGCTCAGCGACGCAACGACCAAAAAGAAAGCAAACGACAAAAATGAAGAGGAGGAGGATCAGTTTAAAATGCAAGCACCACAGCACAGACACTACTTGAGTTTTGAAGGTGTGGGTTTCGGAACACCCAGCCAAAGAGAAAAGCAGTACATGCAATTTCGTGTAGACCGTGCGACTGAGCAAGTGCTGGAGTACCGGAAGCAGAGACTTGAAAGCCAGTTTGTCGCGACTGACCTAATGAAAGCCAAAGATGTGAGGCAGAGCAAAAAGGTGAAGATAACTCAGGCGGTTGAACGGTTGGTGGAGGACCTCATCCAGGAATCGATGGCAAAGGGAGACTTTGACAACCTCAGTGGCAAAGGGAAGCCTCTGCAGAAGTTTTCAGACTGTCCACATGTTGACCCTATGACTCACAACTTGAACAGAATTCTGATAGACAATGGGTACCAGCCGGAGTGGATCCTGTTGCAGAAGGAAATACGGGAAACTATTGAGCAGTTAAGGAAGAGCATAGTGGCATCTAGAAGCAAGCTTGGAGAGCCAATGATACCATACAGGCAAAAGCAGTGGAATCGTGTTTGTGAGCAATTCACAGAAGATATCAGGAAATTAAACAAAAGAATTGACAACTTCAATTTAGTTGTTCCTATTCTGAGCAGACAAATGGTGCACTTCAATGCTGACAAAGAAATTGGCCGAGCACAAAAGACTTACGAAGCACTGATGGAAAATGGAGAGGCTTCTAATTCAGACACAAAGGAAAATGAGGAGGAAAATGTTAAAAGGTTTGGGTGGAAGTCTTCTCTATTGAAGTGGTTAAACTATACATCAAAATAACACTATCTGTCTTGTCAAGATTTTGAATGCACTTTATTAACAAAACTTGTAACATTAGTGAAATTTCAGGTACACTGAAAATGTAAAATCCAGCTGTGCACTGTTACACCAATTAAAAGGAAATGGGTTGCCTGATGTGCATTTGCAGGTCCTTAATTGATTTATTTGTGAACACTGCTAAGTAACTGTGCTGGTTTGGGCTGGGCTGGAGTTTATTTTCTTCACAGGAGCTGCTATGAGGCTACATTTTGGATTTGTGCTGGAAACAAGTCAGGGATGTTTTAGTTACTGCTTAGCAGTGCTTGCACAGAGCCAAGGCCTTTTCTGCCTCTCATACCACTTCACCATTGAGTAGGCTGGGAGTGCACAAGGAGCTGGGAGGGCACATAGCTGGGACCAAAACTGACCAAAGGGGTGTATTCCATACCACATGGTATCATGCTCAGTATATAAAGTTCTGGAAGAAGGAATGGGGGATGTTCAGAGTGATCACGTTTGCCTTCCCAAGTACCTGTTAATGTGTGATGGAGCCCTGCTTTCCTGGGGATGACTGAGCACCTGCTTGCTTGTGGGAAATGGTGAATGATTCCCTTATTTTGGCTTGCTTGTGCACGTTTTTTTCTTTACCTATTAAACTGTCTTTATCTCAACCCGTGAGTTGTCTCACTTTTACCCTTCTGAATCTTTCCTCCATCCTGCCATGAGGGGAGTGAATGAGCAGCTCTGTGTGGCTTAGTTGCCAGCTGGGGTTAAGTCACAGCAGGAAAAAATCGGTTAGCCTTTTGCAGCTTGCTTTGCTTCTGTTTAAATAAAAATTAACACTTCCCTTTAGCAGTGTTAAAGGGCATTAAAGTGGTTTTGCTGTTACATCTTCAAAAGGTGAAACTGAGGCATAACAAAAACATAATAAGGACAAAGTGGAAGTAAAAGTCTTGCTGTGCCCTGTTACTTTGACCTTTATCCTTTCTTATTTAAATGCTTACAGCTCATAAATTGTTGACAGGTTTCATGCTTTGTTTTATGGTTTATGGTTTTTTGTAAAGTAGTGCATTCCTCTCTTCAAGGTTAAATGAAATGGGAATGAAGGGAGGGTTCTGGATGTCTGGACTTGGGCTGTACATTCTGCAGTAGTCCATTTTTGGATTTGGCTTTTAATACAGAAGGAGGTCTCAGAAAGCAAATTTGAGTAAATAAGGAAGCCTGCCCAAAACTGTACCTTAGTCAGAGGGCGTTTTGGAAGTGAGAGAAGGGAGTACTATTTTGCAAAAGTAATTGCGCCATTTAAATGTTTTAAGAATACTGGTATCAAAGAACTTACTGTGAAATATTGCTGTATTATTAGAGTTTATGGGCAGTGGCTTGGAAAATGGAAAATTTCCATGGTGCCAAAGTTGTATTTATTAATCTGTCAGCTCTCCACACAATCTGATTTTCTTGGAGGATTTTTCCTATGGAAAGGTGTCACTGGATACATCAGTATTTGTGCAGGCCTCCTTTCTCATTCGCGCCTCTGTGACCCAGACTGTCGCAGTCTCCACCTATGCAGGAGTTGTGCTGTACTCTGCCAGTCCATAGGAAGGTGTCTATGGTCTCTGGTGTGCCAGGGAGGGGGGATATCAGCTCTTAGAGTTTTAGAAAGGAAAGTTAGGTGGTGGTCACATCCATCCTTTTGGTAGATGCCCCAGCACCAACAGTCTGGGTTAATGCATTTGCTTGTGGGCAGGTAACAAACATTGCATGCGCTCCTTTTGGTCTTTGTGCTCTTGCTTGTATAGATGAGGTCTGAACCAGGAGACAGGTCATTATTTATATTTGTTGGTAGAATGAACTAATTGATATATTGCTTGTCAGAGAGTATTTTATAATCTAGTGATACTATTTAATATTATTTATTCACTGGTAAACACTGTAGGTCTTTCAAGCCTTTGTGTTACAGTAAATAAATAATAATGACAAGATGTTTGTCATGTTTTAGAAAATAGGGCTAACCTCAGCTTCCTTCAACATACCTTTTTTTGTAGGAATGAAGGTGGAAAAAGTAGGAAGAATGGCCTTACGTGCAGACGAATCTGTTGCCCCTAGGTTGTGCCACTGGGATGTTTGTGCTGTGGTATGTCATGCCCTGGTGCTAGCTGAAGGGATGAGAGCATGGCTGTTACTTCCTTCCTGTGAAGATTCAGTTAGGAGGCAGAGGTATGCTAGTGAGTAGGATTTATTTAGATCCTTGTGTTGGACCAGGTGATACCAGAAGGCTTTGACCTCTTAAACGCCTCACTCATTTTAGCAGCTGTGTGTATGAATGTCTGTTTATTGAAATAACTTATCCATGCATTCTTCCTTTTAATGAAAACTAAAACATGCTCTTATGGAAATTCTTTGACATAGTACTTTTAAAAAGATCAGGTTTTGATTTGCATTATGAGCTACAGGAATTGGGTCTGAATTGCTGTTTAAGCTAATCCAGTGTCAGATTGGAAGAGAGCTAATTGCAAATTGAATTCATTGCACAAGAGTAAATAGAACCAGATTGCAATAAATCCAGCTTTGATGGAATCCACTTTGGCTCACAATGAAGATAAGTATCAGCAGTTTAAATATTTAAGTTGCCATAATGGATGAGTCAGCACACTGAGTGATTTTTATGTTTCTTTTGAAACTACTTGGTGTCAAATGGAATAGACGTGACCTGACTCTCAGCACTTTAAATCAGCCTTGCGCTGTTGTCGTGAAAAATTGCCAGGCACAAAAAATCCACTTCTTCAACATTTATGGCAATGAGGATGAAAAAAGGGGTTAAGATTTTTGTTTTCCCCAGGTGTGTGGAGGAGTGTATTTTTGCAGGGCTGTCTATTTTTTATTTCTCTGAGCTCACAAAATCCTGAGAGCAGTACTTAGCCAGTACATCTAGAGCAGGTAATAGCAAGTACTGCATATGAATTAGAAAATGCCAGGAGAGTATGGCCCTCAGAAGTAATTTTTCTGTTTGACGCTAGACTGTTAATTTGATAATGGTTACCTTATTACTGACCTCAAAAGAATGAAATCATTGTTGATTCCAGACATGAATTCATGTTGCTTATTCCCAGAACTCCCTGTGTGTTGGTCTGATTACCATATAGCTTGTGGCTTGAAAGGCTTAGCTAGATGACATCTTAGTATCAAGAAAAAATACTATATTTGTTATATAGGATATATTAATTGAGGTATCAGGTTTTCTCAGGGTGAGAACTCTGCCCAGCAATCTGATGGTTCTTTCATGCACTATCAGCAAGCTGTACAATTGCACATGTTAGTGTTTTCCAATAAAAGGAAAGACGTAGAGCTGTAGGCTATCTGAAGTAACATCTCGGGCTGTCTTGTAAAACCCAGGAGTTTCTATATATGCTGTAAATGTTGAGGCCTGCTGAACATGTTTCTGTTTCAGGGTAATAATGGCTCTCAAGATGCACTCAGAGTTACAGAGAAGGCTCTGAAGAGAGAAGTAAAAGTCAGGAGAAGCAAGAGCAGGGCGTGCTGTAAGAAAGACAAGCGGTAAATCTTCATTCTTAGTGGGAGAAATTGCTGCTGTGAGGGAGAAGAGGATGTGTGGTCTCCCCCTTGAAGTTACTTCCCTACCCATTCTGTCTGCCTGGATGTGACCGCCACACTGTTTACCTTCCCACAGCTGTAAAGAAAACAAATGTGTTTCTGCATGCGTGGCGGGGTGGGAGGTGATGGGAGATGATACGAAGGGCCTGAAAAAGAGAAAGGAGGTTAGTATATCATGCTTCCAGGTGAGGGTGGGAAGATGGTGGCACATGTAGTAACAGGGAAAGAAGTTGGGGAGTACATGGTTCTTTTTGATGAACGACAAGGCAAGAATTTTGTTACAAACTTTATCTTCATGGTAGGGTGCTGAGCATCATGAGTGAGAAACAACTGTTTACACTGACCCTTTTTGCAGTTGATACCCTCTTTGCTAAGGCAGGGGCTCTGCTCCAGACTTGGTGGAACACAGTGAGCACATACAAATGAAGGAAAAAAGGAGGGGGGCTGATAAGAGTAGAAGGCTGATAAGAGTAAGACTTTTAACTTTTGCATGGGATTTTAGGGAGCCACAGCTTAACTGTCTTTTAACAAGGAACTGAGTATTCCGTTGCCATTTGGTTGCATCTTTATTTTGCACTGCCTTTCTCACAGTGCTCCTTTACTTAGTGTCCTGCATTGCTGTTCATTGTTCTTGAGCAATATTCCTGAAACGCGTTCTTCTTTTTTTTTTTTTTTTTTTATCCTGTTCCACTCTTTAATTTCTACTTCTGGCTTTTCTGTGGGGTTTTTTATCTTACCAGAGTGTGAATTTTCAAACTAATCACTTTCCTATTTTGATACTTAATTCAATTGCAGCATTCCCCCTTAGTATCTTTAAAATCTTGACATCAAATCTTTTATAATAGGCAACTGTCTGTATTTTACAAGAAGATGTGTCTTTCTTAAGGTATCTCTGGTGCTGGTAAAGCTCTTTTTCTGATGCTTTGGCAAGAAATAGGCCAGAAAGACAGGAGAAGAGAACCGAATCCCGCATGTGGGAAGGATGAAGGTGTCACCAAAATCTAGGAAAATAACCTCTCCAACCAGAATGACAGGTTAGAAAGCTGACAAAACTTTATTATGGGTAATTATTACTTTGTTACTGGGGTGCATGGGGAATATCTCTACCTATCATGCACGTTGAGAAGAGGCAGTTTACATGCCTTTGTTATATACATAGTAATCATAATTCTATGAAATGCCTGCCCAATTCTTGTGAATCATTGCGTATCGTAATTCGGGTAGACAGGGCTGCGGTGCAGACACTGTAAATTCGAGTAGTGGTCTTTGAGGGTCATAGTGATTGGAGAGAAATTCCCCCTCCCCCCCCATTTTACCCTCTTACGGAAATCCGATGGTTAAGGACATTGGAATGTGTAATTAGTCTTTCCAATTAACTGTATGTTCTTGTTTGGCCTAATTTAGGACCCTGAGATGTTCCTTGTGTTGTTTTCTTTTGCAACTGTTTACTTATTTCTTAGGCCTTTACCAACAGGAGGAAGGCCTACGTTGATTTGAGAGAAGACACACAGTCCTCCTTACATGCCTTCCTTATCATGAGAATCCTA